CCTAGGCACTTTGATTCAATGATTGGACATCTCCAACGATTCTTGAACAATGAGCAACTTACATGCTGTTGTTGCTGTTGATGTTGCTGCTGCTGTTGATGATGATGATGATGATGATGATGATGATGATGGATAATCAGGGACGTGGACTTGATTTGGACATGCATGATTCTTATTCCTTACCAGAAGAACAGACACTCTTTCCAATTGAACTGTCGTGGCTTGTTGCCTCTCAAGTTGCCTCAAGTTTGTCTTCGGATTGCCCCTTCCTGCCATTGCTGGACCAGGTTCTGACCGTAGTAGTGGTATCTTTGGAAGCTGCATTGGGCTGAAGTTTTGACCTTGAAAATGCAGTGTGATATATATAGAACCTCCATGTCACTCGATCCAAGCAAGAAAAATACATATGTGATGCCGTTTGCTGTATTCAAATCATACCTGCCTACCTATTGTCCCACAACTAAGGACTCCAATGGTAGCGACCCTCTTTCCAAATGGAGGAAACAAATGAAGCTACTATAACCCTTTCACTTCTTCGAATTCGTGAATTCGAACCTGTCGTAAAGACACAGGACGAAAAACTCGCTCGGAGTGACCGAGATAATGCACAGCACTACCCACACAAGTCATCTTGGTCTCGTCAAGCATCTCCTGCCAAACATGCAGCTCGACACCATGCAACGACGCGACAGCCTGCCAGGCCTGGATAGCATAATCCTCGAGTTTCAAGTTCCATGTACCCTTCCAAATGATGAGACCAGGCTCTAGGCGATATTGGAACATCCCTGCTAGTCCAGCCCTTCCGTTCCATATCTCCATGGTTTTTAGGTGCGGCATCTGCATCGCTACCTCTGCTCCTCTCCTAAATAAACCATTAGCGTCAGCCGACGGCGTCAACAGCTGTGAAGTCAAGGTAAGTGAGGTCAGATCCGGCCATGTCCAGGACGGTTTGCACTGGTCGAAAAAATTGCTGGCCTCAACCATAAACGATACCGAAAGCATCTCAAGCTTGAGACTTTGGTGGGCGAAGGTTTGGGTTAAGAGTTGATGCCGGTGTTCGCGAGGAGATGAGGCTTGCATAATAGCCATGTAGTGTTCGCTGAAGTTTTCCGAAACTATGAGGCGCCGTAAGGCAGGTGTAAAGTCCTCGCATGTTATGGCGGTATACTCTGTTGGCAATCTTGATTAGCCCATGGTAGACAAGTGTCGAGAAAAGATGGGCTTACCTTCATCCATTGACAACTGCTTCTCAGCACTCCACGCCCTCCATGGCTCATAATGGACCTGCTCGAGTCGAGGCATTTGCGAAAATAAGGACGCGAGATCAAATGGCAGCCACTGCAAGCGATTTTGTTGACGTAAATTTACACTAGTTATTACCGGGACCGATGGGAATGGCATCTCGTCGGTAAAGTAACCCGGAACTTGGTCAAACGCTCGCTTAAGCTGCGAAGCAGTCGGCGCCAAATTATGTACTATCCCAGCTGGCAGGCCTAGCTCTTGATCGTGGTCGCATTGAGTGTCCGTTAGATCAGGCTTGAGAGGTATGTGGGCAAAGCAGGGCTTTGTGTCCCAAGGCGAAAAGACACTCAAGTCGAGGGCGAGGTCTCCGTCGCTCGGGTCCCACAGACTGAGCGTCGAGAACAAACTCCGGAATGCTGATTCAATGAGCTTGGAGTTGGTTTCCCAGACAGCATTCCCCGTATCTTCTAGGTCTATGCGGAACCATATGGCCCGGATAAAATGTCGTTTGCAAGGAGCGATGAGCTTGAACCTAGGGAGGCGGCAAGGAGTCAAGGTGACGTGGGCGAAGTTTTGGGGTTCAATCAGATCTCTCCAAATGCACGAAGTTGCGGCGAGACTCGCTAGGCTGCATCCATTTCGACGGAGGCAGGAAATAATGAGGAATCGCAGCTCGTTGGGGAGAGTGGACAGCATAGTCGCGGTCTGTGGCTGGTTGATCTGGGTTGTCCGATTGCGTGCGTGTCGAGATGTGTGTTTGTGCTCTTCTTTTGCACAGGAGCAGCCAGCGAAGATGACGAGAAGATTGATCTCCTTAAAAATGGCGGCAATCTTTTCTTAATTCTTTATCTTGGCTGGCCGCTCTGAATCAAGCTTTCATGCGAGTTGGATGTGTAAAGCCTGCGCTATATATGGCCAAGGGGCCACCCGTACTCACTGGGGTGGTTGACTCGTGCTTCGTACAGGTTGAAGTGGTTGGATTGGATAGGTAGATGACAATCGTCAAGTCAGGGGAAAGACGACAGCTTAAGTAGTTGATTTTGGAGACGCACAGCTCGCCCCATTGACTTATCGGGATGAAGGTTTTTTTTTTAACTTTTCTCCCGTGTGACTGGGCAAGCGAAGCTTATTTCTAACCTCGAGGCTGTAGCTGTTGATTGTATTCACGTGGATCACGGCAGATAGGATCGAAATCACCTGCTCGAGGCCGCTTAAGGCTACAGCTGTTAATACTATTCGCGAGAGTCAGTGTGGATACGATCAAGGAGAGGTCTGACTTACCTGCTCGAGACTGTGACTGTTGATCGTATTCATCAGGATCGCGGTCAGCGAGATCAAGGAGGCTGCTCGAGGCTACGGCTGTCAAATTCATAACATACACACGTACAAAGCAAACTTCCTCGCCACATCGTACAATACCTTCCTTACAACACCACAAACACCTCCCTTATAAGCTCACGATACTATTATCGATACGGGATAACCCAAGACTCGAGACCAATTATATTTTGTTTGAGAATCCAATAGCTAATTATCATCGATACATAGGGTAACCTACCGTAAAATAAGTAGGCAAAGCTGGAAACTGCACCCAACCCCTGAAGGGGTCGGTCATTGCCTTCTCTCTTTCAGCTTTGCCTGATAATAACTATCAGAGGTCTCTCTGAGTGAAAAGGGTTAACTGGAAACTGTGTGTATTATATAAGGTAGGTCTGTCTAGGATGTATGTATTGTTATTCATCCATTACCTAATGGCATCTTTATCATCTTGCCGAGAAAAAGGGCGTTACCAATCACTTCCAACTGTGCAATATCCCATCATGCCTTCCAAGAGAAACGCCATTACCGAACCAAAAGAAATGACCCATAATAGTATACAGGAGAAGAACAGCCTATACGAGGTAACCAGCGTCGTGATGATGATTTCCCATCGACGAGTTCTCCTGCCTGGAAAAGCATTACTAGCATACCGAATGCTCACGATTTTTTTTTAAAGAAAAGAAATGACCAATGGGAGAAAGAGAGAGTGTGCGTATGTCAAGAAAAAGGAAAAAGAAGCCAGAGCACAAAACTGTTGGTGGCTCGATGCTTTGATCTAGTATAGAGACCACTCCAGCCTTCACTCTCTAACCCGCACAACTATGAATGGTTGTGTGCTTGAGGAGGAGGACTGTGAGCGCTGTGTGAGGAATCGCTAGCACGACGAGTCGACGAACTTCTAGAAGACGACTCCAATCCCGTGCAGCAACCAGGTCCATCGCAGTCATCCACGCATTCGAGCAAGCAAACATCGGGGTTGGGCTGCTCTAGCGAACCGTCAAATGTCAATCCTGCCGCATCAGCAGCGTGTTGGTGTTTCTGATCAAGACAGAACTCGGGCTGAATAGTAGCACTGTGAATACCAAACGCATGGAGACACTTGCGAGCCCGTTTTGCCAACTGCATATACTTCTCACCACAGTGGGAGTCGATTGGGAAGGAAACCTGAACATGCATACTGGCAACCACCTTGGTATCGGAGAGCTGCCAGACATGGATATGGTGGCAGCTGATGACACCAGGTAGGGCTTCGATATCTTGCCTGATGTCTTGAATGCAAATGTGCTCTGGTGTCGCCTGTAGTAGAACCTTGGAGGTTGCGCGAGTCAAGGGGATCGATGTCTTGAGAATGATGGCGGTAATAAACAATGACACGGCAGGGTCGGCATACAGCTTGCCAGGCCAATCAGTGAGCCAGATGATGAGAGCAGTGACCATGACACCAATGTTTCCAAGAGCATCACCGATGACGTGTAGGACCATGGCATTCATGCCCATGTCGGCATGGCTGTGGCCGTGCCCACCACTCTTGGCAGGCTTGCTTGGAAGGGTGTGATTGTGGCCGATATGAACACTCGAATCGCGGCGCGGGCGCTTTCCGTGGTTGTGGCTGTGGCTGTGAGGTGCAGCAGAGAGTGTGCCGTGGCTGTCCTTCACATCTCGAAGCAGAGGCGACTCTTCATTCGCGTCCTGCTCGTCGAATTGGGTGGTTTCATCATCAACCTCGCTCTCGCTGGCGTCAACCCCGGATGGCATGGATGCTGAGATGATCTCCTGGCGGAAACTTGCGGGATGGATGCTCATGTCCTCGATGCTGGTGAAGCGCGAATGCCCAGACTTACTGGAATGGCGTCTATCCCTTCCTCTGGACTGGGCAGATGTTCGGCTTCCTCTAGTGTTCGAATCATCGCGCCGAGATGTCTCCCCGCCGAAACGAATGTGCCTAGCTCCATCGGCGTTATCGGAGCTTGTTCTCTTGCCACAGGCAGTTGCCCTTCGGACGATTACTTCAGGGAGGACATCGCCGACACTACCGTACTCATCCGCCGCCTCAGCCTCGATGTCTCGCTCCCCTCCGTGGGAATGACCGTGTGCATGATCGCCGTGGGAGTGGTCGTCACCGTGGGAGTGGCCATGGCCATGTCCTCCAAGGACGAAGAAGCCGACGAGGTTAGAAAACAATCCGGCAGATCCAACAATCAGCATGAGTTTGGGGTTATTGATCTCGGGTGGCTCGACGAATCGGGTCAGCGCTTCGAGGATGATGGAAACGCAAAGCGCGATAAGGAAGACGGCATTGAAAAAGGCTCCGAGGATCTCGGCTCGAACCCACTATGATAAACTTGTCAGCTCGGAGCAAAGAAGGAATGATTGGGATGAGACGGAGACTTACTCCAAAGGTGAATTCATCAGTGGTGGCCTTTTGCGAAGCAACCACTGCCCAAAGACCGATTGCCAGTGAGATGATATCATTGAGCTGAATAACCGTCAGTATGCGAACACGTCAAAGGATGGCCAGGGAATCGCACCATGTGGAAGGCATCGGCAGTCAGAGCAAGCGAATGGGCGAGGAAACCAGTAACAAGTTCAAGGAGGAAGAACGCCGTGTCAATGACGATCATCACCTTGATCCGAGTACTCTTGGACCACATCTTGGAATCTGCCCAAAGGTAGCAAACAGGGCGCGCAAAGCGAGAGCAATGGTCGGTCCCACGCCGTGAGACTTATGCTTGCGTTAGCTGCGTTCCCTACAGTCGAGCTGGCGTGCGGAAGTTGGGGGCAATGTCGAAATGGAAGGTGGCGAGGGAGACAATCAGCGATGGCGGAGGAAGGAGAAGGAAATATTTGGGGTCTGGTCGACTGTTGTGGTAGTCGCCCCCCGATGGGCGGGGTGACTAAGAGTTAATTCCAGCGGATGGAGAGTTTACTACGTAACGACTTTACGGGAATGAAGGAGGCTGCACGCTCATAGACTACACAACGCGCTTTGTCTTGCTAGGGAGAGGGATGTGTAAAACCGTGTGGTTGATGGTAGCACGGTTGCCCAGATGTGAGACAAACATCATCTTGTCATATTACTGCTCTCATTCTGCGGCTGCTCTGTGCTACAGGCCCTCGGCAGGTCCCTGACCCCCTGCTGTTGCCCTGCTTTTGCTTGAAGTCTTCTCCACTTTAAGACACGAAATGTTCCATTCTTTCATCAAAGGCGAACAGGTCGCCAGGTAACACACAAAGATCTCCACGCTGTCGCCGGCATTGTTGGAGCTGGGTCCTGTGGTTAGAACAATGGCGGAGGTTCTCCAACACCAGCTTCCAAGTCCCGATAGATATCTGAAAATACAACCTCCACCGACGCCAGGCGAACATTGCCAGTGCTCTAAGACACAAGCGCAGGGAACTAACCGGAAACCCGGCTCGGCGTTACGGTACAAGCATCGGAACAGACTGTCGCATTTATATTGACTGAGCGGCGGCAGACGAACCCCTTCCCCATTGTTTGTCGTCTTCGCAAATAGCCTGTCTTGTTCGGGTTGGAAAATGGAGCTTTCAGGACGAATCATCAATGATCAGCAACCTCAACTCTGGACCCGCAATCGGGTCTGCCAGGAGCCAACCCGATCGATTGGGAGCCTGCACTAGTCTCCTTTTAACTCAGGTTGCGACCTTGCATGCAGGCACTTAGATTAGCTACTTGCCTGCCATTAGCCCTGGAAAATCGCATTGGAAGAAAAGAAAAAGAAGGGAAAAAAGGAGAAGAAAACGAAGAAGCTACCTTATTAAGAAGCGAAACCCGAAGAGGCTGCAAAACAGACGAGCTGGGTGCGAATTTTCGTGCTTCGACGATCTGCTCTTCTTCTAGTCACTGCAGCCGCCGCATGTCTGCTTTGCGGCTATGATCGGTGATTCAGCTCATCTCACCTCACTCAATAAAGGACATTTGTCTGCATTACGTAGCTGTGTTACAACTAATGCATGACAGTATGATCCCATAACGCAGAAGGGGCCATCGCTGGTAACTGTTGCCGAGCATCGGCCTCCAATGGCACGCTGGTTGCCTACCCTAGATGGGTGTCAGGATGATGGAATCGCCGGATCGTCACAGCTTATTCATATGCCGGGTGTTAGTTGGATAATTGTGGGAATACTATTGCGTTGGTTCATGACACTTCGTTGCTTGTTATGGATTACGCTGATTTAATCCTCCCTCAATATGTAGTCATATCTCCCAGGACCTTTGGCTTAGAGTGCTTATCCCCACCTTAATTTTGCTGGCACCAAGTTGTAAGGCTGATCAGAAAATAAGACTCGCTCACATCGTAGTTAGCCCCCTAGTACCGATGCCAAACCCGTGAGAAGGATTCCAGGGTTTCAATCTTGTCCTTATGTTATGCATGTCTTCCGAATCCTGTGCACTTGTCCCTGTTCAAGCTTATTAGTTGGATTATCCTCGACCTGGGCTGCCTGAGCTCCACTGGCATTGGCTTAAGGTAGTTACGCGGCAGTGCCCACCTGGTCTTTTTTTAGCCATTGGTTCCAGGTGCTACTTGATAGGTCTCTTTTCCCGAGCATGAGCCCATAAGCTATATGTTACCTGATGTCAATCGTAATATTATCCCCTCTCCTCACATGGATATCTGTACTTTGGTAACGGTAGCGTGCGCAACACTGGCAAAGGATGTGCCTAGAACTCCGCTGAGGCGCGCTGCAAAAGGTGTGGCTGCAGCCAGGGACGGGGTCGGATCTGAGGTTATTCGTCCGCCCCGGTGCAATAAGGCTTGGTGGTGCAATAGGGAAGGCGGCGGGGCGTCAGTGCGCTGGAGCTCTTACACTGGACCCCGCATCACTGATATGATGATGACCTGAGCTGTGGTGGGGTTTTGGCTTGGGCGGTGCTCTCTACCTGCTCCCTACAAGCTTGCCTACTACCTAATCCATCCCATCAAGAGGAGTTGCAACCTTGAGTCCATCGTTCTGATTCCCAGTAGATCCTCGGAGATAAACCGATACTCGCCCCTCACACCCTGTCTCATCTCCACGCATCAGCTTGTGAAATGGCTACTCGACCAGCAACCAAGGCCGGTAGTTGGTACGTGAGGGACCCCAAGGAGCTCGAGGAACAGCTTGATGAATACCTTGGGGATGTGCCTGCAAATATTGACGGCTCTGCACTCCCCGTACCGGGAGCAAGAATAATCATTGCCCCGTGCGTTCATTACCCCTCCCCAAGAATGAATGAAAAGCAACCATCTGTTGACACGCTGGGCCAGACATGCGGGCTTTGACTACTCTGGACCCTGTGCCGCTTGGGCTTACAGCTGTCTCGACCTTAGCAAGGCCAAGCGAATATTTCTCCTTGGTCCATCCCACACATACTATCTATCCGGCTGTGCGGTAACCACATTTGGGAAGTATGCCACGCCATTCGGCGACCTTGTCGTCGATCGAGAGGCTATAGATGCTGTCAGGCAAGCGGGCCGCTTCGACACGATCCCCCCACAGCGGGATGCCGACGAGCACTCGCTCGAAATGCACACCCCGTACATCTACAAGACTCTGAAGAAAACCTTCGGATCGCCTGACAAGTTCCCACCTATTGTCCCCATCCTGATTGGTGATAATGACCGGGCCGAGGAGAAGCAAGCCGCGACTGCGTTTGTTCCTTATCTCAAGGATCCCGAGAATGCATTCATCATCAGCTCCGATTTTTGTCACTGGGGTGCTCACTTTAACTATATGGTGTATTCACCTGACAACGACCCTTCTAATCTGAGAAATCTACGGAGGAATGAGCCAGCCCCGGTAGGATCGCCAATTCACGAGACAGTCCGTCTCATTGACGAAGCTGCGATGAACGCGGTGGAGAGCGGGAGCCACGATGCATTCGTTGACAACCTAAAATTAACAGGAAACACGGTCTGTGGCCGGCATCCAATTGGGGTGGCTATGGCAGGGCTGGAGCATATTCGTAATGAGCAGGACGCCAAGGGAGAAGGCAAGTTCAAAATCGTCCAGTATCAGCGAAGCCAACTTGTCAAGTCGCCGAGGGAGTCGAGTGTCAGCTACGTCTCTGCATATGCCGTCCTGTGAGTTGGACATGGGAATAGGTTGCATTGGCAGAGGCTACCAAGCGGACATATAGTTCGGAGTGTTTTGCTGAAATGGTACTCTGCAGTCTGCATCCTTCGACAAGCATTACGTACAGTGCCTGGGCTGGCAATCCATCGCCTCGAAAAGAGTATGTCTTCCCTTGAATGTTTGCTGACGGTCGCTGGGATTGGGGGCGCTTGAATCAGGCTAGCTCTAGTTAGGTAGTCTCACTTGCAACGAGCACAATGGCTGGGATTTGAAGTCTGGTCTTCCATGTCTCAAGCCGCCATGTGTTGCTGTAGGGCAGTTCCTAGAATAAATTTGGCGAAGATCCGAATTTTGGGCGATCAGATAATTATATAAATTTTGTCCGTGCTGCCATGGTTTCTTTACCTTGAGTCCCTAGGTAAATGCCGTATGCATTGATCAGTTGGGTGTATCCTTGTTAGTGTCACGGTCTGCTCCTCTCGGGTTCGGGGGTTGAGCCCAGAAGTGGGTGGGGTGACAGCTTTTCGTTGGCAGAGTCAGGCTGCTTACATCACAGCTGAGGAAAAAATAGAACAGTCCGATCCATTGCACTACGTAGGCACTGCATATACTCTGCGGTCAGCAGCACACCAGCCTCCGTCCGGTGCTATTTTAGATCCCATTTGGAGGTGGAGGTGTGAAGGTGATTGGTTTATCGCGTTGACCGTGGGTTCGGAAGATGTTGCTCTGCTGGGACCTGGCACCTCACATTCAGAGCATTCGGGAACGGCCCATGCTCGCAAGCAAGGTCTGATCGACGGTGGGCGCTGTGCTACTGAAAGCTTGAGACCCAGGCGCCAGACCATGGGTCGTTGAGGCTTTGCGCTGAAACAACCTTCTTAGGTGTTAGCCAATCGCCAAGGGTCCATTATGGTGGAGACGCTGCCCACCAGGCTGTTTTCCATTTTAAGCGCGAGAGGTGTAGGGCGCAAAGGTACCGGCTGGTACACACTGGATATCGAATCAGCTCTGCTGGTGCTGGCGCTTGGATTGCGTTGGTTTGCATCGGCTGGTTGGCGAGTCTCGGACTCGATCAACCGCCGCCATCCTTGCGCTTCTCGAGGTACGCATAAGAAACACGGAGACCATCCTAGGGCAGTGCATGGGGTTCAGGAGACTACCAAAGCAGGAGAGACCTGCAACGTTAGTGCTAGGTAGTCCGCGGGCCAAGTTACGAGCAGGTACATTCCATCACTGACGGATTCTGGTGGTCAGCCTAGGCCACCGCTGACTTTCCTACGACGGCGACTATCTGCGTCTAGCCAACGCCGCTGCTCAGCCCAATCGAGTGCGTAAGGACCTAGACCACGGCTGCGGCTGCAAGAGGACTTTAGCATGCCTGCGGCTGCTACTATTGTCTGTGTATTGGATCCCTTCCGGTTTTGTAGGTCATTTGTAGGTGGTGGTAGGTCGCCCATTGCATTGCTGGGGTAGGAGAATAACCCCTGCTCACCCCGTCTGTGGCGGGACCCTGCCTTTCCGTTCATCCCTCTCCTTTTAACCAAGGCGGTCATCATCAAATTTCTTTGCTCTTTCATCCATTCAGTGGCTTATTTGTGACCTCGATACACCGTGTGCCAAAGGTCCAGACACATTCTGCATCCTTCTAGTTTTTCCTTGACACTCCGGACGACCCAACAGCCCCCAAACACACTGCAACCATGAGTGTAAGTCTACTGTCTCGCATTATACCCTCCTACCCCTAATACTGTTTCATCTATCGATGAGGATCCTGCGACCCATGTAAATGCCACTGGCTCCTCTACTAGGTGGCCCTTCGCGCAGCTTCACTCTCCTCAATTATTTCCCACTTCTCATGGTATTTCTTTGTATTGATAAATTTGCTAATCATGAACGAAAATCAGCAGTACGGGTACGTCCATTTCGCCAGTCGTCTTTAGCATGGCCTCGACTAGACGCAACGTGGGCATCGAGGTTTGGCTGACAGACACGCGACAGATACAACCGGGGCGGCCAATACAACCAGATACCTGGTGGTGATAGCCAAGGCACCGAGTATAACCCATACGGAGGCGGTGGTAAGTTGGCCGACTACAATGGCTGGAGAGGGGAGAGCATCTTGATTAACACCCCTCAAGGTTCAGGTTACGAGATGAACTCGTTCCAAGACAACGCCAACCCTTTCCAAGACAGCTCCGAGGTTCGCGCGGATCCCAATGCTATCCTCAACGAGTGCAAGGACATCGATCGCGGCATTGAGCAGGTCGAGTCGAACCTGGATCAGCTCCGTGTCCTCCAGCAACGCACCCTCGACGATGCCGACAACTCCGCCTCGAGCACTGCTAACCAGCAGCTCGACTCGCTCAGCACCGAAACAATGGCACTGTACCGATCCCTGACAGAGCGTGTACGCCAAGTCAAGTCCAAGCCCGATGCGCAGTCACCCAAGAACAAGCCCCAGGTCAGCCGCGTTGATCGCCGGCTCAAGGCCGCCATCCAGCAGTACCAGTCCGTCGAGTCCCAGTTCCGCAAGCGCACCCAGGACCAGATGGCCCGCCAGTACCGCATTGTTCGACCTGATGCAACCGAGGAGCAGATCCGCCAAGTCGTCGAGGACCCCAACGGTGCCCAGGTTTTCAGCCAGGCTCTGATGCAGAGCGATCGCCAGGGACGGGCCCGTGCTGCTCTGAGCGCAGTCCAAGACCGCCACCGTGCTCTCCAGAAGATCGAGCAGCAGATGGTTGAGCTCTCACAACTCTTCCAGGATATGGACACTCTTGTTGTCCAGCAGGAGGAGATGGTCACAGACATCGAGCACAAGGCCGAGGACGTTGTGGAGAGTCTGGAACACGGAAACAAGGAGATTGGTGTCGCTGTTGAGACAGCCCGAGCCACCCGCAGGAAGAAGTTCTGGTGTGCCCTTATTTGTCGTAAGTACGCCCGGTATCGCCGGCTTAGGATTATCGCTAATTTTGCACAGTCGCTATCTTGGTCGTCATCGCCATCATCATCGTTATCGTCCTTGCGGTTCAAGGCAAGCTTGGAGGGTCGAAGTCGCAGAAGCGATCTCTGTTTGAAGAATTCCCAGACCTCCCTGTCCGCGCACTCCCCATCAACTCTCGAATCGTTGGCCGTTCACTTGCGGATTATGACCAGACCCTTCGCAACCGAGTTCATTTGCCGCAGCTACCGTCGTAATGGTGTCCCCTTGGACAATCACAGCGACGGCAAGCATCATATCTTCTCTTGGAATTGGAAACATGACCTTTTCTCTCCCTAAATATCTCTTTTCTTCATGACTACCGATAGACCTCTGCGTTCAGGTTCCTAGCTGGTTTTTTCTTCTTTGGATCCTGTGGTTTTGGCAGGTTGGGTCAATATTCCACAGAAGAATAAAAAAAGGCTTGGACATATCAGGATATTTTTCAAGCTGTCTCTTCGGACTTTTCTTTTTCTCAACCCTTTTCTTTTTCATTTTTATATTGTGGGACGATTGCTTTGGATTGGCATTCTGCGTTTGTTGGGCATGCACACACGTTGTCTTTTCCTTTAGTATAGGAGTTGATTGCATTTTTGGCGCTGGATACTACTTCTTTTTAATCATATCGATTCTCAATAGTCGCGCTGCCTTGTCCTTGATGCTATCTATCTGATGTAAAAAACAAAAGCCGAAATCAAGGTTTCTTTATTATCCGGGAACGCCAAATGCAATAATGGTATTGTAGTAAGACCTGCGCCGCAACTGCTTCAATCCTCGTCTCCAACCATCGTCGTAGCCATGCCCTGATCCCCAAGTCGCACTGCCTTCCGCGGTCAGGACGCGAGCGAGGATTGATTGTACCAAAACCGTAGAACCCAAAAACTACACAAAAAGCGGCATGTCATGATGTTCTGTAGGCTAGGCGAGTAACCCGCCAGCGTTGCCATCGTCCTTTATCCGCTATCCCTCATGTGATCGTGCTCCTCGACCCCCTCCGCGTCCGCATCCAGAGCCGAGCTGCCAGCGGCTCCCTCTGGCGGGTGTTCATGCTCATGCTGCTGCTGCTCGTGCCGCTCCTGCTCCGCG